AGGAAGAAGCAGCAGTAGAACTAGCAAGAGACGACGACTACTAAGAAGAAGGAAGAGGAGGAGAAGCAAGAGAGAGAGGGAGGGTGGGGGAGGGGGAGGGGGAAGAGGAAGGAAACCAACAATAGTAACGAAAGAAGCAGTTAGCGAAAGAAACAGTGGCAGAAGTGGCAACCAGAGGAGAAGAAGAAGAAGACGAAGAAGAACCAGGAGGAGAAGGAAGAGGAGGAGGAGGAAGAGGAGGAGGGGGTGTTTTTTTTTGTTTTTTTTTTTTTAAAGAGGGGGGGKGGGAGGAGGAGGAGGAGGAGGAGGAGGAGGAGGAAAGCAAGGCGTTGTGAAAAAGAAAGTAGGTTTCCAAAAGACGGAAGTCGGTTTCACAGATACTGCAACTTCTTTGCGGTTTCATTCCTGAAAGGTAGAGAGGGGGAGAGAGGATACGCTACGCTTGAATTCAAGATATGTTTGATTTCATCATATGATAAAAGAAAATTAATTGCAGGAGAAAACGACTGCACGCACGCACGAACGAAATGGGAGACCCACACACAGAAATACACGCCCGAGCACGGACACACACACACACACACAAAGAAGAGACTTAACCAAAATGATGAGACGGAGGAAAAGACCACCGGCGAAAAATGCTAGAGGAGACGCGAAGAACATTCACTGATATACTTGCGGGTCGCTAGGCACTACCATCTTCCCCCGAACATAACGCACCCTGATAAAGAATGCATACAAGCTATCTTTCCGGTTCGGTGCAGGCAAAATGAGGGTGCGTTGTGTTCGGGGACAGACGGTAGGCCACGTTCTTGCGGGAGTCCCGACGTAACGGTCGTTGGAGCTATCGACGTGTCCGTACCTGCATTTCGGCGTTCCGTTTCCTCCAAAATTCCAATGCTCCTTACTCACGCATGTCTCGTTGCCCTTGACCCTCTCTATTTCCACGTAGTGCTGTTTTCCATCTATACTGTTGTAATTCCTCCTCCCTAACTGTACAAACACCAAGTATCCAAGTATGGGTGTTTTCCTGCTGCTTGAATCACAACAGCCTGAGCGCTCTCTCTCTCTCTCTCTCTCTCTCTCTCTCTCTCTCTCTCTCTCTCTCTCTCTCTCTCTCTCTCTCTCCCCTCT